ACCACCAGGGAAGCCCTGAAGTTCTTATTAATTGGCTATCACCACGTCCCAATCCCACCCTCCCTCACCCCACCCCCACCTTACATGTTCTCTTTCATTCATTCAAAATATATTTGGTCAACATCTATGTGTCAGGCACTGTGCTTATTTAGGGTACAAAACCAAATAAAGACAGTACTCTATTCTCGAGGAGGTCACTGGAGCAATGGGACAAGACACACAAAGAAATAACTGCAGTGTGCAAAAAGAGGTGACGGGGGCTTCCCTGGTGGCGCAGTAGTTGAGAATCTGCCTGCTAATGCAGGGGACACGGGTTCGAGCCCTGGTCTGGGAAGATCCCACATGCCGCGGAGCAACTAGGCCCATGAGCCACAACTACTGAGCCTGCGCGTCTGGAGCCTGTGCTCCGCAAGAAGAGAGGCCGCGATAGTGAGAGACCTGCGCACCGCGATGAAGAGTGGCCCCCGCTTGCCACAACGAGAGAAAGCCCTCGCACAGAAATGAAGACCCAACACAGCAAAAAAAAAAAAAAAAAAAAAAGCCAAGCATTTGAAGCCCTTTAAAAAAAAAAAAGAGGTGACGGGAAGCATGTATGAGGAGAGGAAGATGTCAGGAAAGATGCAGACAAGTGGCATCAAAGGAAGATCCTCAAGGATGAGGTGTGACAGAGGTCATCTCCGAAAAGCTAAGAAACTTCTCTAGACTTAGACAACGGGGATGAGACTATACGAAATCCCAGACATTCCAATCCTCACGTGCTCTAGCCACTCCAAGTACTAATCATGCTTCCAATTTTTGTTTTTTAATCTTTTGTGTTGAAATAGCTTAATGTTTTATTTACTACTATCAAGAGAGCCCATGCAATGTTTAAATTACTCTGACGCAAAAAGATTTGTGTCCAATTACCATTTCACATTCATTTTTCATTCAAGATGTTTCAAAGTCTAGATGTACAAGGTATGTGTTTATGAGGCGATTATACTAAGCCAATGGAAATGTTCATGCCTTAATGTTAAGAGAAGAAAAAGCAGAATAAAAATTCTATCGAACCTCAGAAAAACACTAATACATGTGTCCAAGAAGGCCTACAAGGATATCTGTTGCAGCAGTGTTTATAAAAGCCAAGAACAAAGTTCAACCCCATCAACAAGGGATGGGAGAGACTGTAGTACATCCTTATACTGGGAGTCCTATACAGCCAAGGTAGTGAACTAGGTCAGTATGTATCAATTAGGATAGAGCCAAAGCTGAGGGGATACAAAAAAGTTGCAGGATGATATATTTACAGCATGATACCATTTACATAAACTAAAACAAAGCAACACTACATATTCTCTATGGTAACGAGTACAGAAAACTGTATTGGACCAACATATACCAAATTTATAAGAGTATTTTAGTGAGGGTGCAGGGCCAAGGTCATGGTGGGAATACGTAACAGAATGAGGAATGGTGATTAAAGATGAATTTATCTGTAAAACTATATTCCTTTAAAGAAGAGCTAGCTCTTGCTTTGGCAGCACACATACTAAAAAGATATATGTGCTTGTATATTATTTGCCCTGGTATTTTAAAAAGTGTGCACATAGATAAAAAACTGGAAACAAATATGTACAAATATCAACAGTGCTTAGTTCTTAGTGGTGGGGATATTTTCTCCGTTATCCTTTTTAAACCACCCCCACCCCATACCAGAAGTAGGATCGCAGCAATGGAAATGGGTTAGAAGGAATGAAGCTTCAGAAAACTAAAAAGAGAATCACCATATGATCCAGCAATCCCACTCCTGAGCATACACCCAGACAAAACTATAATTCAAAAAGATACATGCACCCCTATGTTTACAGCAGCACTATTCACAAGTCAAGACATGGCAACAACCTAAATGTCCATCGACAGATGAATGAATAAAGATGTAGTACATATATACAATAGAATACTACTCAGCCATAAAAAAGAACAAAATAATGCCATTTGCATCAATGTGGATGCAACTAGAGATTATCATACTAAGTGAAGTAAGTCTGAAAGAAAGAATACAATACAAATGAACCCATCTGCGAAGCAGAAACAGAATCATGATGTAGAGAACAAGCTGGTGGCTGCTGAGGGGGTTCGGGGAGGGATGGAGTGGGAGGTTGGGGTGAGCAGATGTAAGCTATTACATACAGGATGGATAAACAACAAGGTCCTACTGTATAGCACAGGGAACTATAGTCAATATCCTATGATAAACCATAATGGAAAAGAGTATGAAAAAAGAATGTATATACGTATAACTGAATCACTTTGCTGTAGAGCAGAAATTAACACAACACTGTAAATCAACTATACTTCAACAAAAAATGTAAAAAATAAAAGAATGAAGCTTCAATAATTTGATGTCACAGGGAACCTCAAAGGTATAAGTCAAGGAAATAGCTATGGTGAAAAAAGCTTTAAATGTTTATCAAAACTGTCTCTGAAAGATTAAGGTTCCTGCCTCCCTCCTTGTACAAGGTCTGGAGATTACATTTGGAATCAATATAGTTTCCACACTGTTTTCAATTTAATCTAGATTTTGGCTTGGTTGAGTCCAAGACTATATAAGAAAGAGGGCCAAAAAGGGCTTAGTAAACATATTCTTTAGTAATAAATGGGTTGGAGCCCAGTCCCCAGTGCCCCTGCTAAATATAAAACCCCATCTGAGCTCTGAGGTGGAGAGCAGAATCGGACTGGAAAGAGAAAAGTACTAATAGGGATTTGGCTTCTAGTCCCAACTCTGCTATTAACTGCAGGCCTTGATCAGGTCACTATACTTCTGTGGGTCTGCTTCTTTACCTGCAAAGAGAAACAGCTGGGCTACATGATCTCTAAAACCTCCACTCTTATTCTGTTTGTAAAAGGACCATCAGCTCTAAAATCTGGGATTTAATAACCATGGCCAGACCTCTGAGAACAGAGGACTTAAGGGGAAATGGCCAATGGTTAAGTCCATAAAGGAAATTAATTCTGTGAGGCACAATTTTAGGTACATAAGTATTCTGGAGAATACAAAGTTACTAACATGCTAAAATACCACAAAGAGACACAAAATCCACTGACTATTCCAAAGTAGGCAGAAATGGAGTTTATAAACTTGCCATTGAGGAACAAGCACAGCCAGACCATTTCTACTAAAAAACAATTTCCACACTACAATCATCTCTTCCTATACCAGGCTTTTTCTATTGTTAGAAAAATACCCAACGCAAATAAATGGAAAGGGGTAGGTTTATCTATATCTGTATATATATATATCTCCTTTACATTTGTCCTTGGACAAGCTGTGGGCAGCATTTCTGGCAAAGCTATTTACATTCTGGATAATGATGGCAACAATGGAACTTCTGCACAAGGAGGGGAGGAGAGAAAGAACAGGCTAGGAATTCAGAGAAGGAACATTCTCAGGACTGAGTGTGTTTGCCCTGGCATGTTTTCCTTCCTTTTGGCAATGCTATCACCACATTAATGAATTTGTCTGCAACAAGAGAATTTTCCCAACACTTGTTTCCATTTGACCAGGAACTATTTTGAAGATATTTTAAGAGAACATATTTTGAAAACTGCTTTTATGGAAACATGATAAGTGGAAGCAGCAAGTCACCTTTAATCCATATGATTTAAGATTTTATTCACTACCAGACATTTTCTAATGACAACATTTCAGTGATTTGATCAGATAAAATTCAGAACTCCTTTGTTTAAATTTTTTGGACAATTATTCTCTGGCATGGCTCAAGCATTTATAAAAAAGGGGACAACAGGTACAAAGGTTTA